TCTGTAGTATTTAAATTTTAAATGATTTCTTTTAACCTAACAAAGGTTAATAATAAATAATTCTACTATATGTTAAGAATTTGGGGAAATAGTCCAAATGTCTAGCTATTGCTAACAAATTTCTCAGTGTAGGTTAATGGTAATCCCAAATGCTAGCATACAGTCAATACAAGTTACTTACTTTTCCACCAATGTCTGTACACATCCCTTCCAGGAAGGCATTTGTAGGGCAAGGTCTGCTATTGCTAAAGCCAGCTGAAGAAGAAGAGAGATTAAACAAAAGAACAGAACAGATGAACAGAAATAGGGTTATCATCACTATTAACTGAAAAGTAAAGAAACTAGATTTTTTTTCCCAAACAATAAGACAAGTAAGACTGACACCCCCCTCCTCCCCTCACCCACACAGCTATCTAGATCATGTAAACTCTTCTAGGCTAGCTACAAATTGCTAGGATTTAAAAGGTAACCTTTAAAAATGAAAAACAAAACAAAAAACAAACAAACAAAAAACAACAAAAAGAAGGAGGAACAGACTATAGATTTTCCTCAGAATATATCAATACTTACTTTTATTTGGCAATACCATAGAACGTCATGGACAGATAAATTATACTTTGCCAAAAGGCCAAAGCTACTGACAACGTCAGCGCATTGACTCTCTCCTCAAGTAATGGATTGCCATTTCCCTTCTCTTTCCATTTCTCATCTTGAAGCCTTACGCAAAAGCCTCCTTCCTCTTCAAGGGCACTTCTATGCCAGGCAGAGAACACATGTGAGTATGTATTCACTGAAGCTTTTTCTTCCTAACGTAGTTCCTTGTCTAAGGGGGAAAGGCCAAATGCTCTAGTTCATTCATGGGACTTTTACTAGCCAATCAGTCCAGAAAGGATTTTTTTTTTTTAAAGGAAACTAACTATGTAGACCTCTGACCTAGAATACAGTACTTTTATCATCTGCAATTTTAATGGGGGGTGGGCGGGAGAGGGGTACATGGCTGCCAGTGAAAACCTATACTCACCTCCTCTACCTCTGGTATTTAAGTTAGTTTAAAATCAAATAAACTCTAAGGTTAACACAAAAGATTTAAATTTTCACTTTCTAGCCACTTAATACAAGGTGTGATCAAACAATACAGTGAATGTTAAAAAAAAAAATTATTACAGTAAAAACACATTGCCATTAATCCCCAACCCTCTCCCCTCTCCCCCCAAATACTGCCCCCCTCGCTTTGAACACACTTATCCCATCATTCTTGCCACTTTCTGAAGCAGTTCTGGAAGTCCTCTTTCGTGAGTGTCTTTAGTTGAGTTGTCGTGGCTGCCTCGATATCCTGAATCATTTTGACTTTGGGAAAGAGCCAGAAGTCGCACAGTGCCAGATCTGGTGAATAAGGTGGATGAGGACACATCGTAATGTTTTTATTTGACAGAAATTGTGGTACCAGAAGCGATGTGTGACACGGAGCGTTGTCATGACCGAGGAGGATTTATGGCACACTTTAAAACACACCTTCTCTCAACTGATGCTCACACCCGACTGACTGCACCGAACAAGTTGAAACTTGAACACTGTTACTAAAGTTCGACGCATTGTTCCCATATTGAAGATCTCTGCCTTTCTGTTGGATGGCACTTGGCAGCAGCATTCACCGTATTTTGTGATCACCATGGAAAGGCTCTGGGTCACATATCGCTTCTGGTACAGCGATTTCTGTCAAATAAAAACATTATGGTGTGTCCTCATCCATCTTTTTCACCAGATCTGGCACTGTGTGACTTCTGGCTCTTCCCCAAAGTCAAAATGACCATGAAAGGTAAACGTTTTGAATCAATTCAGGACATCGAGGCAGCCACAACAGCGCAACTAAAGACACTCACTAAAGAGGACTCCTAGAACTACGTCAGAAAGTGGCAAGAATGATGGGATAAGTGTATTCGAAGTGAGGGGGAATATTCTGAGGAGGATTAATGGCAATGTGTCTCTCACTGTAATAATTTTTTAAAAATTTAACCATTCACCATAGTTTTTTACCACACCTCATACAGCAATTAGTATAAAATTGTCAACATTACTTCACATGGCCTAGCAGTATCAATCAAAATTAACTTGATAAATCCAAACGGCCTTACAAATTTCCCTAATGATAAGCATAGAATTTACCTGTGTTACAATGACAGGTGACAAGTCTTTCAAGTTCTGGATATGGGTTAGTAATGAGTCCCTTAAAGAGGCATGAGAGTCTGTGGGGAGTTCATAAAATGAGGTCTGAATCTTCATTTTCATGGTCTGTGCAGCAAAATAGCATGATTCCACATCCTGTCGAATCTGTAACAACTGGTCTGAAATCTCCCATGCATGAACCTAAAAGCAGATCAGACAAAATGTCTTAATGACTACTTTTCTAAATAATTTTAATATCATACCACATCAGTATATACAAACATATTTAGACCAAAGTATAATGAAAGAAAAATCAGACAAGCAAACTTACCCACTAATTCAACCAATATTTCAAATTACATATTTATAGGACCTGTTCAAAACATATTACCTAAAATCTTCTGACATTCTAGAAAGGCATGAGAGTTATCAATTGAATCAACAGATTTAATCTTGCTGATTAAAATCATTAATTATGTAGGGGTTAGATTATGAAGAAAACATCCCAAAAGTTCCTACTAAAACTAAAATGTCACTATATAACTTTCCAACCTTAAGGTTGAATGTTTCCTCTCTTTTCCACTTAAATAAGCTTTGTTCCCTCTAAGAATTGAGTGTGGAAGCTATTTTAACATATCTATAAATAGGAGAATATATTTCATAGTAGTTTCAACAGGCCTACATTTCAATCTTTAGTTTCTGAATATATAATAATGACGAAAAAACTATCTCACCCCAAGTGACTATTTCACATACCTCAATTGTTTTTTGATGTATTTAAATTTGGCAAAGTGTTATACATGCTACTAAAATCATTTTACATGAGAGAATATAAAAATATCTACAGAAATAATAGAACAAAAGCATTGAATTGGGTCTCTAACAGCTAGTCATAGTTATAGAAGTAAGTCGTATTTGAAAGATAACTGAGAACAAAACTGTGCAGTACACAATGGGTAACAATTAACAACTGATAAAAATTCTACAGCAACTCTACACCAAACTGCCTCTTCATTGGGAGAAGACTAAAATGAACTGGCAATGATGGACTGAAAACATTTTTTCAGTCTCAATTCATGAACAGAGCCAACTGTGAGGAGAGGTCACACAGACTTTCCTAGTCAATTTCTTATGAAGATGGAGCACTTCACAAATAATACACAGTGATTCTTCAAGATCTTTCCAAAGATAAACAGGAAGTTAAGGACCAGAAACAGAATAAATAGCCTGGACAAGTTACCAAAGTAAACTAAAACAGAGACCCTGAAATTCATGACAGGTTTATTGACATAAAACTTAGTTTTAAATCAGTAAGTTGGTGAAAAATAAGCATGAAACATTAATGTCTTTCTGGATAAAATGTGTTTATTACTTTTTTCGGACTTTGTACCCCAGCATGTGGCATATCTTGCAACCACATTGTTTTTAGCCATTCATTATCTAATGAGTATCCCAACCACATCTATGATTTAATATGCCATCAAAATATATTCTGCTCTAACTGATATTTTAAAAAACAGCAAAAAGATTCTATGAAGCATTGTAAACTCCATGAATGCCCTCATAAAAACAGAGCAATTAAACAGCAAAACCAAACAAAGTACAACGGACATTTACAACAAAACTAGGTGTTACTCAGTTATCTCCCAGAACCCCAAAATATAAGTGGTTAGAAATAAGCCAATGACAAGCCAGCCGAGAGGCGCGTTGGTTAAAGAGTTTGCTTGGGACGCCAGCTCTGAGAAGCAGGGCTGCAGTTTGGATCCCACATTGAGGGCCAGGGACACTGCCCTCTACAGCTAAGATGATGAACAACAGCTCAACCTGGAGCTGGGCTGCTGTGAGTGGCCGGCGACGGCGTAGGCTGCAGTGGGGCTGCTGCAGTGGGCTGTTTGAGCTACGTGAGTGGCTGTCAGCCAGCATGAGCAGTCGACAGCGGCTGTGAGCAGCCAACCAATGACCGGCGGCCAATTGCCTCACCCGGGAAGAGCACAATGATCATACCAACATGGGCCAGTGAAGCGACATCCTCCACAACTAGGCTTAAGAACAAAAACAGCAATTTGTCTACCTGTCTGTTCCCCTTCCCTGATTCCCCAACGCTGTTCCCCTCCCCCCCAATTCCCCAAAATCTTAAAAAAAAAAGAAAGAAATAAATAAACCAGTGGCATCTACAAGACTTGTATAATTTCACTTTCAGTAAAAGCAGAAGCAGAGGGAAATGACAGGGTAGCTAATGGATCTAAGAGCAGAGGAAGCCAGAAGAGCCAACAGGTATTCACTAGAAAGCACAGGGAGCCAATTTGAGGGCTGTATTTGAAAAATGCAAGAGGTTTTGATGAGTGGAAGAGGTGAGTAGAAGAGGTCTACATAAGGTCTTAAGAGATGGAACAGTCTGGCCTCTATAAACTCTTGAAACTGAAGAGCCAGGACACGGCTCCAAACTGAGGAGAAAGTGCTGTAAACAGATTAAAACTGGGCCGGCCAAGTGGCTCAGTTGGTTAGGAGTTAGCCTAAGAGCGTGAGCTCTGAGCAACAGGGCCACTGGTTCGATTCCCACATGGGCAGTGACGCTGTGCCTGAGCTGAGCTGCCACTGAGCTGCCAACAGGTGGCAGGATGGCTCAGCTGGTGGGAGCACGTGCTCCTAACAAGGCTGCCTGTTTGATGGTGGGCTATGCCCGCCCACAACTAAGACTGAACTCGGCACCTTGAGCTGAGCTGCCACCCGAATGGCACAGTGGATACAGCGTGTGCTCTTAACAAGGCTGCTGGTTCGACTCCCGCATGGGATGGTGGCTACGCCTACCCGCAACTAAGATTGTAACACAGCACCTTGAGCGCTTAGAGGCCACGATCTACCGACGGGCAGCCAGATGGCGACTGGCACCCTCCACAACTAAGATTGAAGAACAACAACTTGGCTGGTCCCCTACCCCAATTTCCCAACACTGTTCCTCTCCCCCAATTCCCCAAATTAAAAATATAAATAAACAAAAAGAATCAAAATTATATAAGACAAGTACAAAAGAGCACAAAGGAAGAAAAGGAGAAGGTATCATAATAAAGCTAAGAAATCTTAGAATTAAAACCACCATATTTGTAAATACTATTTGAAAACAACAGAAAAGGAAGCTCCTTGAAGTTGGAAGTACTATCCTTAACCACGCCTCCCAGAAGTTCTGAAAAACTCATTTCACAAAAATAAGCAAATGAGGTCAAATGCCATATATAACTATAGGGTGGAGGAGGGAAAAATGAACAGAATAATATCCCTACAAGAAAAGTAGGCAGAAAAACATTTTAAAAACTAGCCTCAAGTCCAAACAACATAGGAACTAATCTGAAAGAGCTTCCAATGGCCCAAGCTAGAAAACCTAGAATAACAAAGTTAATTATAATAGTATTGAATTATAACTCAAAAATACATAAATATCCATGAGCCCTTACTGATGTGAATAACAACTGAATAAATAAATAACAGGGGAGAAGTTATATATAGGAATATAGACATCTTTTGTACAGAAGAATGCTAGTTAATGAATGTAGAAGGAATAAGAGAAATAGAAAATCACCATTAGAACACTACAGTAATAACTGCTATAGAGGCAAGATTCATGGATCAATGATCAAGTTAGCAGGTGAAACTTTAAAGTGAAATAGGATATAGCAAAGTATCTCCCCAAAATATTTATTAGTTACTGTGGTGGTTTTACTATTATGTCCTCAAATTCTTTGACACTTATCATGTAAGAACTCATACTACTGTGCTAGAGAGACAATGTAAACGAGACCAAGAAGTCTCTGGAAAGTCATGGAAAGCAAGAGGAGCCCAGCTAAGTCCAGCCTTCCATCCATTCCTACCAGAGTGGCCAGCATGTAAGTGAAGCCATCTCAGAATCTCTAGACCGGCCCAACCAAATGGGTGCCTCATGGAGCACAGAACTATCTTCCACGGAAAACTGCTCAAATTCATGACCTACAAAGTTATGAGATGCAATGAAATGGTTTTTGTTGTAAGTCACTACGTTTTGAGGTAATTTGTTTCACAGTAGCATATCATGAGAACAGACAATCAGTGTGCATCCTGATGAAAGAACAGGATACCACAATAAAAAAAGATTCGATTCTGTTTCATCAAGCCTCTGGATCCAGCTGGCAATTAATTTGCAGACAATACAGAGAAGAACAATATCACAACTATGCAATCAGCAAAATCTAGACTGTAGGGAAATTCAACACATCAAATGGCCCAGATTCCTCAACAGGTAAATAACCTACAGACAGAGAGAGAACCTGAAGATTAAAAGACATTCAAAAAACATATTTTAAAAATCAAACAGCAAGACTGAAGTGCAATGTGGAAGAGTACCCACTTAGGTGATAAAACTGTAAAGCAGCGGTTCTCAACCTTCCTAATGCCGTGACCCCTTAATACAGGTCCTCATGTTGTGGTGACCCACCATAAAATTATTTTCGTTGCTACGCTATAACTGTAATTTTGCTACTGTTATGAATCGTAATGTAAATATCTTTTTGTTTTCCGATGGTCTTAGGCGACCCCTGTGAAAGAGTCGTTCGACTCCCCAAAGGGGTCACAACCCACGGGTTGAGAACCGCTGCGTAAAGAAATACAAAGGGTTTCCTGTGAAACGGCAGTGGTTACTTTCAGGGAGAGGAAGCAGTTGTCAAATAGGCACAAGGAAGACTTCTGGAGTGGCCAGTAAAGTTGTATTTCTTGACTTGGGTGGTGGGTATAAGGATACCCATTTACAGTATTCACCAAGTTATACATTTGTTTTGTGTGGTTTAAAAACAAAATAGAACAAAACAAATAAAAAACCTCAATACTGCCCATTGAACTGAACTAGTATGAAGTCTTTCTCCTAAGTGAAATCTGTCAACCCACCAGATCAGAAGCCTTGTGCAAGTGTTCATCGATTGTGCAGTGCCATGTTATCCTTTAATCTGAATGGCAGAAAATACCAACTGTATCATTCTGGGTTATATATATTTCTGACTTAAACTTTTCTAATCTTAAATGGAGAGATTTCAAAAAATGAAGGGCTTCAAAAGTCAAAGCAAAACAAAAATAGTATTTCCTTCTGGAGAACTGGTAAACTTGAAGGTAGGGATGATGCAAAGATTTATTTTTCAAGCACCATTAGTATGTTTGAATATTTTTTAACATGTCCTTTGAAA